CCCTCTGTCATTTGACCCACTTTTTTACGGACGCTTTTTGAATGACATTTTTATGGTTTGGACATATTCTATCGAACACTTTTGGGAATTCTTTGAAATTCTCAACAACCACCACCCTTCTATCAAATTAACCGCAAACGTGAGTGACAAAAGCATAGACTTTCTCGATACCACAGTCTTTAAGGGAGATTCCATAGCAGAAACAAATAAACTGGATATTAAAGTGTATTTCAAAGAAACTGATACTCATCAACTCTTGCACAAGAGCTCCTTTCACCCAAAACATACCTTTTCTGGTATAATTAAGTCACAAGTTTTACGATTTCATCGAATTTGTACAAGATCTTCTGATTTCAACCAAGCCTGTACTATTGTTTTCTCAAAACTGAAAGAGCGTGGGTACTCTAAACGATTTTTACGAAACATAAAAAATTCCACCTTAGCACAGATAGCAGCTTAAAAACAGACTTTATGCCGAAGTACCTCCAGATTTAAGAAGTACTCCATGTTTGTCCAGTAGATGCAAAACATGTCCCTTTATATCAGAAACTCATTATTTTGTAAGCAACTCTACGAATAAAAGGTACCCGATCCAGGAACATCTAGCATGTGAACATTCGAATGTAATATATTTAATTTCATGCAAGAAATGCCCCAAACAATATGTAGGAGAAACTAAGAATAATTTACGAACTCGCTTTAATGCTCATAGGTCAGACATCAAATTAAAGAAAGACAAGCTTGTTTCTAATCATTTCAACCTCGACGACCATTCAATAGACGACCTCGCCCTAATCCCAATTCAGCGTATAGAAATTGACTTGCCCGAAGATGAAACTACCAAATTCCGTCAATCTAGGGAAGCCCATTGGATTGAGACATTGAATACAGCAAGACCTATAGGACTAAATATTCATCATAATGTAGGCATAGCACCCTTTGTTGTCCCGTTTAATAAAACCAGCAATCGAGCAAGCAAGATAGTTCATGCCCACTGTAAGAGCCTTCAAGAGAAATTCCCCCATGTCTATAAGCAGAAAATGATAGTTGCATATTCAAAAAATAAGAACTTAAATGATAATATTGTTCGTAGTAAACTAAAAACAATCAGTACATCGGGCGAGTTATTTTTTCTAATTTCAGATCAGAATAAGAACAAAAGAAAACCCAATATCAAGACCCTTAATCCTAATTTCTAAATAAAGTGTCTGCTCCACCCTAGGCCTGTACATTTGGGAGAATCAAACCCTCCCTTTCCCGAAACCTAATTGATTTTTCAAAACTAGGCTTAACCCCAACCTTAACACTAGGCTTAACCGTCACTAACCCTAAGTCTTGGTGGCCCAGTGGTTCGCGCACTTGCCGGGCACATACTTTTTTGGACAGCGACGAGTTAACATCGTAATATGTTCTCTCTAGGATTCACTGAAGCGTGTTGAGTTTTCATTACGGATTATATTGAATCTAACAAACTGATTACTCTATCGGTGTACTAAATAGAGGATTTTGACTTAGTGTGTGGGGCCGTACCCTCTCAGCCCTAAATATGGGCTCGAGAAAGTACCTAAAGGAATGTGTTGTGGAGATTGATGTGATAGATTGGAATAAAATAATCTTAGATGAAATTATAGATGGAATTGAAGAAATAATTGGTATTGGTAATATGTTTGTTGTTATCCCGAGAAAACCTGGTACGATTGAAGTTACAGTGAACGATAAAGCTAGTGCAGAGAAACTGAGTGGAGGATTATCTATAGGTGAGAGCAAATTTGATTGTAAAATCCCGTATTCCCCGTACACAGTCGTGTCCTTTATGGATATCCCCTCATACATTGAAGACAGTGTTCTGATTGATAAACTTAAATATTTTAACATTGTAATAGAAGGAGAAGTGATAAGACATTATCACGATAGATTTAAAACTATCGAAAATGGCACACGACACGTCAAGTGTATTTTCCACCCTGGTCTAAAGTCTCTTCCCTGGGCTGTGAAATTGGAAACTATAAGCGGAATTAAAAGTTTTAGAGTGCTGCATAATAACCAAACCAAAGTGTGTAATAAATGCTACTCTGAATCTCATATGATAGCAGACTGTCCGAAAATTGTGTGTAGAAAGTGTCATCAGATGGGGCATATGGGTAATAAGTGTTCTGTTAAACTTTGTAATATATGCAAAAATTTGGAAATAGAGTGCGTGTGTTCGGACTATTTTGAAGATGATATTAATAGCACAGTGAATGAACTCTCATCAGAAAACCCTACTCTCAATAATTCGACCAATACTCATGCTGTTGATAAATCTACAAGTTTGAACTGCTCAAGTGACCATGAACAAAAATCTAAGAAATTAAGATTAGACGACGAAACGTTTCAGATGATTAACCCCATCTCAGAATCTACTCGCGTTGATGATAACTCAACTGTGAAAAACCAAGTAGAAAATGTAGTCACTGTGCTTGTAAGTGAACAACATTCTTGCGAAGCAGACACACCACTACCCCCTCCACCCCCGCCCCTACCGCCCTCGACACCCCCAAGATGTGTATCCCGAAAAAAATTCCATATCAAGGCTGCAGATGAAAGATTGAGTGAAACTGAAACTATAAACCCTCCACCCCCCACTCCTCCACCCCCCTCACCATCTACAATTGTGAAACCACGTAGAAACATCCTTGTTAAAAAGCCCAACGTAGAAAATATTGAACAACTTGTGAAAATAAGATGAGAGGGCGCTCTAATAATCGCTGACATACAACTATGTTTTGATTAAGATAGTGGGTCAGCTCATTCAATTTCTGTACTTTTAACTCTAACAAATTAAGTAGTATGGATAGGATCGAAAATTTGTTTCAGAAAGTGCTGGACCTAAATGTTCATTTTGTGTGTCCACAAGAGACTTACTGGGATGCTGATTTAATGGGAATAATTAATAGAAAATGGGAAGGTAGAGTAATTACGAACAATTATGACAGTGTGAATCCGTCAAGAGGTGTTGCCATTTTAATCCGAAAAGATATTTTAAATTCAGTGACTGTTAGCTCAACTTCTTTAGATAATGAAGGTAGAATCGTAAGAATTGATCTAGAGATAGATAATAGAAACTTATCAATTCTTTCAATTTATGCCCCGAACCACTCCAGAGATAGAATTGACTTTTTACAAACCCTTGGCATATTCATCGATTCGGGTAGGGAGTGCATTGTGTGTGGAGACTATATTGATGTTTTTAATCATTATCTAGATAGAGGCAAAGGTATGACCACTGTAAGAGAAAGTTCATTAGCATTGAACAATTTTGTCATTAGTCATGGTCTTGTTGATACCTTTAGATACAGAAACCCCGATAAACGCCTATTTACTAGAAAGTCTACCGTTCAAGGACAAGTGAAAATGAGTCGTATCAATCATATTTTGATTTCTAGATCCCTACTATGTAATGTTATAAATTCTAATATAATTAATACTACTTTTTCAGATCATAATATTGTGAAACTATGTATAGATTTTAATAATTGTGATAAAGGACCAGGAGTTTATATTGTGAATAATACCCTTTTACATGACTGTAAGTATATTGATATTATGAATAATTTGATTGATATTGAAAGCAAGAGTGAGCTGTTATGTAGTAATCCTCTTGTATGGTGGGATAACTTTAAATATAAAATTAAAAGAACTTCTCAGGATTACTCCCGTAAAATAAGCAAAGAGAAATATGCTAAAATTTATCAAATCCAAAAT